AATGGACACTAGTCTTCCTGGAGTCCTCACATGAAGAAATTACATTACATTATGAACAAACCTTTAAAAAAAATCACATTAGGAAATAATATGTCCTTTGTGGAGGAAGAAAACACGTCTTAATATTTACATATTTACATTTTTTGTGTTTTTAGTTAAAACTTGTTTTGACTAGGCCCAAACATTTCTTTAGTTGTAAAAATAAATGTAATTTTTTATCAGAATTTTGGCCATAAATCTTATGAAATAAAGACTCAGGAAGGGCTCTAAAAGTGTCCATTGATGGTTCAAACCAGACAGGAATACGTTGTTTCCTGTGGTTAATTGGTGACGGGATAAAAAACGCTAAAACAATTCAGCAGAGAGCGTTTAGTGTCTGGATGGATTCCCACTCTGTGCCACATGAGTCGCCTGGTTCTGTGAGATTAAACGCATGGATGTCCACTTAAATTCACCGGTTCTGAGCAAAAAGAAAGCCGTAAATCTATCGGAATTTGGAAAAAAATATGATGAAAAAAAGTTGTTTTGTCATTGTTTAGTTTAGTTTAGTTTAGTTTTATTAGGATCCCCATTAGCTGCCAAATAAATGGCCATGAAGAAATTACATTACATTATGAACAAACCATAAAAAAAATCACATTAGGAAATAATATGTCCTTTGTGGAGGAGGAAAAAACGTCTTAATATTTACATTTTTTGTGTTTTTAGTTCAAATTTATTTTGGCTAAGCCTAAACATTCCTTTAGTCGTAAAAAAAATGTTACCTTTTATGAGGATTTTGGCCATAAATCTTATGAAATAAAGACTCAGTAGGGGCTTTAAAAGTGTCCATTTATGGTTAAAACCAGACAGGAATACGTTGTTTCCTGTGGTGAATTTGTGAGAAAAGGAGTCCCACAGGGATCCACTTCAGAGCCTTTGCTGTTCAAACTCAAATAACAAAAAAATAAAAATAAATGCAGCCCCATGAGAAAAAAACACTCTGAAACATTTACATTTGTCTTTAGACAAAGAAATATTTACCGTAATTTACCTAATTCTGGTTCTTTTATGAGTAAAACAAGAAAACTGGCTCTCAAAAATTCTTATTGTTCCTTTTGAATAGTTTTTTTTTTTTGCAAACCCAAAAAAATGGGACTCTTATTGTACTTTTATATGAAGATTAAAGTGTAGCTGGCATTAAAAGGTACTGGGTCAAATATCTGCTGTTTTCTCCACTGCTCATGTCTCCAAAATGTATTTTTCTGTAAAATGAACTCCATATTTATCAGGATAAAAAGTGCAAAACCACATTTCTGGTCAAGCTATCTGCCAAACTCCTGTATTTTCTTAGGAGTCTTTATTTTCAAGTTGTATTTATATTCTTATTCTTTGCTTATTTTTGCTTAATTTAGGGGTCTTTATTTTCACGTTGTATTTATATTCTTATTCTTTGCTTATTTTTGCTTAATTTAGGGGTCTTTATTTTTACGTTGCATTTATATTCTTATTCTTTGCTTATTTTTGCTTAATTTAGGGGTTTTTATTCTTTACTTTGTATTCATATTCTTATTTTTTTGGTTATTCACAAAATGTCCTGTACTTAATCTGTATTTTTTACATTTTTTTTGTATTTTGCTCTCTGTGTGCCACTTTTTTGTCCTGTAAGATGCTGGTAACTTTAATTTCCTGAGGGATTCTTCCCAAGGGATCAATAAAATACAAGTTTACGTCTAAATCTACAAAGCCGTCAATCCTTCATGGAAACAAAAGCATTCACAATAACGTAAGACAGGGAGAACTACCGTGTGCCTATTATATTATATCCTCTAAATAATGTAAAAGTTTGATCCCTGGGTACCTTTGGCCTGATGGATGCTACAGAATATTGCTAACTGATGTTTTCTGTCATATCTAATCAGATTTGTCAGAGGCCTGCCGTGTGAACATCCATAGCTCATGGTTGTTTTTCTTTTTTTTT